CAAACAATATAAACCCGTAACCCTACAAGCTGTTAACAGCATCGCTCAATCGGCGGAATTCTGCGCGGCCGCCGCGAGCGGCAGCGAAGTGTTGCAAAGGATGCGCATCCCAAACCTCAGCACGTTAAGGCTTCTGATAGGGTTTAGGGTTTAGGGTTCTGCTTTAGGATTTAGGGTTCAGGGTTTAGGATTTGAATTACTAGGTTGCCCAGTAACCTAGGATTGAAAAGGGTGTCCTTTTTGCTTCAAGGGGTTTACAAGGGAACCCAAACCCCCCAAAGCAGGGAATAAGGGCACCACAGGGCATCCTAGATTAAGAGGAGATACAGAATCAAAGGCCCCCTGAATGGTTGCTTCGGGGACAGCCATCTTGAACACAACCCTGGCCCTAACCCTACACCAAAGTATTGAAACCCTAAACCCTAAACCCTAAATCCTAAACCCTAAACCCTAAACCCTGGACCAAGTTGCCAAAGGTGATTCCAACTGGAGGTGCAGGGATTGGGATCATAGGGTTTAGGGATTACTGCCATCCCCCAAAACCCTGCCCTACACCCTAAAGCCTACTAAACCCAAAGCCCACTAAACCCAAAGCCCTTAAAAACCCTCAACGCCATTTAGAACCCTTGAAAGCCCTTAAAAGCCCTAAAGCCCTACATGGGGCCCTACACCCTTACAACCCTTAAGCCCCCAAACCAAGAGGGTTCAGGGTTTGGGGTTTATAGGGTTTTGGGTTTTAGGGCTTAGGGCTTAGAGTTTAGGGTTTAGGGTTTAGGTTATTTAAGCAATATCTGGGTTTAGGGTTTAGGGTTTAGGGTTTAGGGTCTAGGGTGTATCGACACTCCATTCCGTCGGGATGCGCTTTCTCAACCTCGCCTGCCTCTCGGACAAAGCGTTCCCAGGCTGCTTTGTAGAGCCTTATGACGCCGACGCTTAGGGTTTAGGGTTTAGAGTTTAGGGTTTAGGGTTTAGGGTTAAGGGTTTCGGGCGGTTCGGGGGTTGGATTCTGACTGCTCATCGACCCCCGAACCCCAAGCCCTCAACCCCAAAGGCCTAAACCCTATCCGCAACCCGAAGCCCGAAATACTCCAATTCTTAGACTGGGTTAGCCCTTTCAACCCTCGGAATACAATCCCTATAAGGTATCATACCTAGCCTTACTAGCTCTTAACGGGGAACTCGGGAAGGAAGTGCCCTATGTCAGTACCCGATACAGACCTTTAAAGGATACTATGGGGTACACAAGATAGGGTCCAAAATCTTGCTAATGGCTGCCCCTGGGGCAGTGTGTCCATGGCCGTGAGAAGCTCGAGGTCTGATAAAACATCCGCTGGGATCTCCTTTTTGCCTGTAGAGGGTTTAGGGTTTAGGGTTTAGGGTTTAGGGTTTCGGGGCTTAAACCAAAAAAGACCGATTGGGCCGCTCTAGCCCCCTTCCACTTGCCTATAAACCCTAAACCCTGCCAGTAAGGGGCGCCGAGTTTAGGGCTTCCTTGTGGGGTTTCGGATTTAGGGTTTCGGAACTCGCTGTACGGTTCGGCTGTTTTGGCTGTCGGTTTTGGGCTTGCGGTTTACAATGTAGGGTTCAGGGCTTGGGCGGTTGAATAATTTAGGCTAAACCTTGTACCCTCATCCCTAAAGCCCAAACCCTAAACCCTAAACCCTAAGCCCTAAACCCTAAACCCTAAACCCTATATTTGGGCTTAGGGGGTTAAGATTGAGGACCTGAGACTCAGGATTTGGGAGGGTTTCGAAGGCTTAGGGCGCCTCCGTAGCACTGCACTGTGCAGATTTCGGTCTGCTGGCCCGAGGCATGTAGGGTTTAGGGTTCAGGTTTAGGGTTTAGGGTTTAGGGCATCTATCAGGGCACTTTGGGGGGGGTGGGGGGGGTGGGATGTTTAGGGTTCATTGGGGTTTAAGGGTTCAGGTTTAATTAGGGTTTAGGGGTGGCTAAGAAAGGCTGAGGGGCTGAGGGGCCCTAAACCCTAAACCCTAAACCCTAAACCCTAAACAGGAAACCTTCTCAAAACCCCCGTAGGCCTGTGTGGGTCGAGTTCTGATTCTCCTTATGGGCCTGGAAGGACCCCCAGCTGAGAGGGTCGTCGCAGTTGCAATACCTGGGCTTAGTGGGTTTAGGGTTTAGGGTTTAGGGTTTAGGGTTTAGGGTTTGGGGTTTAGGGTTTAGGGTTCAGGGTTTAAGGTTTAGGGTTTAGGGGTAGCCCAGTCACCATACGTTAGTAAGGACATCTGTTTTGGGGTTGGTTACTTGATAAGGGAACCTTGAACCAAAAAGAGGCAAAAAGGGGGTGCCATTTTGAGGCTGCGCGTGAACTTTGAGGGTGTAGGGATTTAGGGTTTAGGGCTTGGGGTGTCAGGGTTTAGGGTTTAGGGTTTAGGGTTTAGGGTTTAGGGCTTTGGATTTAGGGTTTAGGGTTCAGGGTGTAGGGATCATGATCACGATGACAGTTATGATGTTGACTGTGCTGTTTTTTGAATAGCCCTAAACCCTGAGTAATCCCAATAGCCCAAGTCAAGAAGCCTAAAGCCTATAAATCCGAACTCCTAAACCCCAAATCCAAACTCCTGAACCCTACAAACCCCAAAGTCAAAAGCCCACCTGGAAGCCCCTCAACCCTACACCCCAAACCCCAAACCCCAAACCCCAAACCCTAAACCCTAAACCCTAAACCCTAAACCCTAAACCCTAAACCGACCCAGAAACCCTAAACCCTCCAAGACATGGTCCCCGGCACGAGGGAAGCGAGGTGGAGACTTTGGCGTGAAGTAGGCAAATGGACGCCTGATCAGGGTTTAGGGTTGAGGGTTTAGGGTTGAAGGTTTAGGGTTGAGGGTTTAGGGTTGAGGGTTTAGGGTTGAGGGTTTAGGGTTGAGGGTTTGGGGGTTTAGTTAGAGAGATTAGGAGTCAGATTTGCTGGTTTAGGGCTCGCTAAGCTCGGGTTTAAACCCTAAACATCTAAACCCTAGAGCCTATATAAACCCTAGAGCCTATACCCTAAAATCCACATCTCTACAACCCTGAACCCCAAACCCTCAACCCTAACCCCGACACGGGAAAAGAAAAAGGCGTTTCCGGAAGCCGTCTAGATGCTTGGTAGGCTTCGGCAATGCCCACGAACCTGGGGCGTGCCAGGGCGCACTCGGCTTGTAGACTTGTAGCTGTTCAGCCGAACCTAAATTCCTGAACCCGATAGGGTTCAGGGTTCAGGGTTTAGGGTGTAGGGTTTAGGGTTCAGGGTTCAGAGTTTAGGGTTACAAAGAGCCGACATCACTGAACCCTTAGCATCCCGTAGCTAACCCTACATCATCATGCATCATTTTCTACGTCCATCATCCTAAACCCTAAACCCTAAGCCCTAAGCCCTAAGCCCTAAGCCCTAAGCCCTAAGCCCTAAGCCCTAAGCCCTAAAGTGGGGTCCCCGTAGGGTTTAGGGTTTGGGGGGGGGGGGGGGGGGGGGGGGGGGGGGGGGGCGAATTGGGGGTTGAAGGACTGCTGTACGAGCTTCTAAGTCCCGAAGGCCTCCTATCCCTTAAGCCCTAAGCCCCACACCCTGAACCCTACTTGGAGGCTCATGGGTGCTTATATCCACAATTAAGGTTTTAGGGTTTCGGTGGTCCTTATAACCACAATGTTAAATCTACTTATAAGCTACTTAGGGGACTTACAGGCTTGTAAGTACTGTTATAATTGGGATTATAAGTACCCTGAACCCCAGGCGTAGGGATTTCGGAATGGTTGAGGTTTTGTGTGCTGGGGTGTGGTCTTCGGCGCAGAAGGGTTTAGGGTTGGCTAGGGTTTAGGGCTCGGGTTTAGGGTTTAGGGCTAGGGTTTAGGGTTGACAGCGTTCCGGTTTCTGGGGCTTGGGGTTCAGTATTGTGGTCAATCAGGCCAGTAGAGGAAAAAGAGGGCAGTGTGGCCATACTCGACCCACTGCATCGAGAGCCCTAAACCCTAAACCCTAAACCCGAAGCCCTAAACCCTAAACCCCTAAGTGTAGGGGCCTCAATGATTAGAACGTGGTTTTCGGGGGGCAGTTGTTGAGGGCGTATCGGTTTGAGGGTTTGTGGGGTAGGATTGGGGGTTTTACGGCTTGGGGTTGCGAGCTGAGGGTTCAGAGCTCGTGTCTCATTATCTGCAGACGCAGCCCGCTCACCGCAACATGTCAGCATACTGAGCACACGTAGCAGCAACGCAAAGAACCACCAAGGCGATAAGGCCCGGTGTCCAAATTCCAAAGGATGTTGTCGGATCAGCTCAGGATTCAAGAACTGCTGTGCTACCCCTAAAACCCTAAAACCCTAAACCCTAAACCCTAAACCCTAAACAAAAGCACACACAGAATCGGTGCAGTTGCACTCCAGGGCTGCTGTCAGGGGTTGCCAGAGCCATCAATCCTTGGTAGCCCAGGGGCCATGGCGCATGTTGTAGTAAGTTTAGGGTTTAGGGTTTAGGGTTTAGGGTGTAGGGTTTAGGGTTTAGGGTTTAGGGTTTAGGGTTTAGGGTTTAGGGTTTAGGGTTTAGGGTTTAGGGTTTAGGGTTAGGATGGTTACTTTACAAGGGAAGCTAGAACCCAAAAAAAAGAGGGCACAGGGGCACCACTGGGCAGCCAAGAATCTTGTCCTTGTCTGCCTTTGCTTCCAGCAGGGTGCGGACAATGTCTTTCAAGGAGCTCCGCCGAGCCGCCGTGTGCAAAGGTGTTACGCCATCCTTGTTGGCTTTATCTGGGTCTGCCTTTGCGTTTAGAAGGAGGCGGACGCTCTTCTTTCTGTTGAAGAAGCAAGCCACGTGCAAAGGGGTCTCGCCGCGTGAGTTTGCAATGTCCTTGTCCACCCCTGCCTGAAGCAGCAAGTCGACAACTTCCGGATCATCTCCCCTTGCTGCCATATGCAGCGTCGGCTGGCCATTGTCTGCCACCTTGTTCGCATCAGCAGCCACCGCCAGGAGCAAACGGACCATCCGCGAGTCACTGTTAAGGCAGGCCTTCAACAAAGGAGTTTCGCCACGGCCGTTTGGCGTGTCCTTCTTGCCACCAGCAAGGCACGAAAAATCGAATAGTTGGACGAGTGCGCAGCCCTGAGTAAAGGGGTGTCACCATCGCTGTTTGCTATGTTCTGGTCAGCCCTTGCCTCAAGCAACATACGGGCAACGCCTGCATGACCAATACCTGAAAGTCCTGATGCCGCCCAATGCAAAGGGGTCCAGCCACTGGAGTTCTGCTTGTCAGCTTCTGCACCAGCTGCAAGCAAGAGGTGAGCAATCGTTGCATGGCCATGTTCAGCGGCAACGTGCAAAGGAACTGAGCCGAAGGTGCATGCAAGGTTGCTATCTGCCCGGCTCTCAAGCAATAGGCGGACGACTTCAACATGACCATCCTCTGTAGCAGCCAACAAGGGGCACTGGCCATTGCCCTCCTTGTCACAATCAGCCTTGGCCTCCAGCAACGTTCGGACAACTTCCACGTGGCCGCGCAAGGAAGCCAGCAAAAGAGGGGGTGGGTATCCCAAGTCTGGATTCTGAGGTCTGCTTAGCATGCGTTCCACCTCTACGACTTCGTTGTCTCCTGCTGCCGCAACAAGTTCGGCCACTTCTGCGTCTGAGGCAGAAGAAAAGGCCAGCTGAACCAATTCCAGATCTGCTTGTCCCTCGAGCACCGTGCCATCATCCACCTCGATGCCGTGCCGGAGCAAACGTAGCCTGAATCTCGGCAGGCCGCGCACTTCCCCCACTACCTCTTTCAAAAAACGTATTGGATGTTCTTGTAGCTTTGTCGTCTCCGCAAATTGCGCCATCGGCATGGCGACAACCTCATCGCCAGAAAGCATGCGAACGCTTAACATCGCGCCCAAAACCACGTTGGAATACTCTCCAGGAAAGGGTTTACACAGCACAAAGCGAAAGGTACGGTTATCGCCCAGGTAAACGGCCAAACCCTGAATCTCCCAACCTGAGTTTCTAATCGTTGAAGACATGCAATCATATGTATTGTAAATAATTCATATTCAAAAGAGGTGTTATCTACGATATATCATGTGATAGATTTAGATGTATATATGTATGAATCACGTGTATGTATAGAAATACCCTAAACCCTAAACCCTAAACCCTAAACCGTAAACCCTAACCCCACACCCTAAACCGCAGCTCTGGGGATTTAGGCTTGACGGTCGCCTTGTGAAGTGCTTAGCATTTCGAGCTCCAGTCGCGTCCCCAAGCCAAATGTTGCGACAGGTACATCAAGTCAGAGAGGCACAGAACCGGGTTCAGGTGGGTTGGGTACCTAAACGGGGTTAGGGTTTAGGGTTTAGGGTTTAGGGTTTAGGGTTTAGGGTTTAGGGTTTAGGGTTTAGGGTGTTCAGGTTGTTGGATTTTTAAAGGCTTCAGCAGCTAAGCAAGGAAGCGCAGTGGTGCTCCTAAGCGCCGCGTTTGGGGTGCCAGGCCCGATTTGTGGGCCTTCTACGGGCTAGTTCAGTGCTCACGGTCGAAGATTTGGGTGTAGGCCAAAATCTGAACCCTAACCCTCAACCCTCAAACGTTCCAGGGGGGGGGGTTACATGACTACCAGTTGATTAAGAACCACCCAAAAAGTAAAAATATTCTTCCTTATAAGGGTAATATGAGGATGATCGTTTTCTATATTTTGGGTTCTTAAGCATCAGGTTTCGGGGTTATACTTCGACTCAAAGGTTGTTTGAGCAGGTTGTGAAGGTGGATAAGGGTTTAGGGTTTCAAGGGATTGGGGTTGGTCATGGGTTTCCCCTACTACCCCCCTCTATACTACCCTAAACCCTAAACCCTAAACCCCCCTTAAAGAACCTTAATTAGGCATAGCTATCCCTAAACAGCCTTAGTTCTGGGCGAACCTAGAGGGCGGGGAAGTCTAGAGGGGGGCGCTTCGGGTGTAAACCCTAAACCCCTAAACCCCTAAACCCCTAAACCCCTAAACCCCTAAACCCCTAAACCCCTAAACCCCTAAACCCCTAAACCCCTAAACCCCTAAACCCCTAAACCCCTAAACCCCTAAACCCTAAACCCCTAAACCCTAAACCCCCTAAACCCCTAAACCCCCCCTACCCTAAACCCCTAAACCCCTAAACCCCCTAAACCCCTAAACCCCTAAACCCCCTAAACCCGGAACCCCCCCCCCCCCCTAATGCTTTCGCCACCGAGGAGCCAGAGCGCTTCTAGATTCCTGGGCTGTGGGAGGCCATGACTCCTTCTAGGGTGGCCCTTAAGACTCCAGAAAGTAGGTCAGTAGCTCTTCACTACTCGGAGGTTCATGGGCACTTGTAACCACAATTGTCAAATCTACTTATACTTAGGGCGTGTAAGTACAGCTATAATTGGGTTATAAGACCCTGAACCTCCAGTACAGTGTGGGCTCGGGAAGAGTGCCCCACGTCGCCAAACACAGGCGGAGCGAAGCGACAGCCCACTCTAGTTCAAAGGCCCGCAAAAAGCATGGGGGTTTACCAGAATAGGGGTACCTTATTGGGGTCCTTTTGTTTTATTGTGTGTGTGTGTGTGTTTTTTTTTTTTTTTTTTTGGGGGGGGGGGGT